AATTGGAAGACGATGAGGATACTAGAGCAGGAGAAGAAGAGGAAGAAGAAGAAGAAGAAGCAGAAGAAGAAGAAGAAGAAGAGGAAGAAGAGAAGAAGAAGAAGAAGAGAAGAAGAAGAGGAAGAAGAAGAAGTAGAAGAGGAAGAAGAAGGCATGAAAGGAAGAGAATTAATAGTAGAGACAATGGGAGCCGTAATGGTAGTCACAGCGTCTTGCAAGAAACGGCTCACCCGCTGGAAGAGAGTCTTGCCGGTCACCATGTTGTTGTTGGTGTTCCTGTGGGAGAAGAACCCGAGTTATTTGCAGAATTTTGAACTGATCTTATGAGTTAGATCGAAAGTTATGTGTAGACGTACATGCATACATAACTATACCTATATCTATCCTTTTCTCTAGCTATTCGTCTATCTTACTGTCTATTTTGTATATCTAACTATTTGTCTATCTGTCAATTTGTATATATAAATATCTATTTGTATAACTATCTCTATATATCTGTCTATCTATTTGTCTCTCTATCCATCCATCTATCTATAAGATATGCACAATATTTACTAAACATATGATAAACTTGAAAAAAAATAAAGATAAAAGTAAAGATATTGTTACTATCGTGAGTTAATATTAATAATAATGCTAATCAAAATGTACTGATAATACCATCAAGAAGGTTCCAATAGTTGAACTGAACATCAATTTACGAAATATCTTTCACTCACTCGCTCATGGCCACAAGTTCATTGATATTGGCATTGTTGTTATTGTTATTGTTGTTGTTATTGTTGTCATTGTTGTTGTTGTTGTTGTCGTTGATGGTGCTGACGATATTGACAACAGTGTCGAGGAGTGCCATCACGAAGGCCATGAAAGCGAGGTTGCTGTTGGCATCTCGGCCTTCGACCTCGAGCACACCTGCGAGGGCGAGAGGAGAAGGCCAGGTAGATGGTGTGGGTAGATGGGTAAAAAGGGGTATGTGAATGGTGGTACTCGGGTATTCGTGGGTAGAGGTGAGTGGAGAAGGGTATTGGGCAGTGGTATGGGGTATCAGGAATGGAGAAGGGTATTGGGCAGTGGTATGGGGTATCTAGAATGGAGAAGGGTATTGGGCAGTGGTGTGTGGTATCAGGAATGGAGAAGAGTATTGGGCAGTGGTATGGGGTATCTAGAATGGTGAAGGAAGGGCCAGGTAGATGGTATGGATAGATAGGTAGGCTAAAAGGGGGTATATGATTCGTGGTACTTTGGTATTAGTGGCACCTGGGTAAAAACAATAGTGAATTATAATAATGCTGTTTGAGCAGTGGTGTGGGGTATATGTAATGGAAAAGGCCGAATAGATGGTATGGATATATGGGTACAATCAGTGGTATTTGGGTAAAGATCAATGATAAATGGCACGTTGGTAGTAGTATGCGGTGTACGAAAAGGAGAATAGGCATACGAAAAGGGGAGTGGTAATTCCATATGATAATGAACAAATGGATAAAGGCATGTAAAGGTATAAAATGCAGTAGATGATTATTGACACGCGTTAAAGGGAAATACTTTAAGTAGAGGGTGTCTATTTTGAAGCACTGTGCGTGTGTATTGGTAAACACACACGCCTATACACACGCGTTAAACCATGCACTCAAAAGAGGAATGGCATATTAAAGGGGAAAATCATATGGAAATCATTATGAATTTATAATAAATGTATAAAGATGCTCACAATAATAATGCTACTACTACTACTTTTACTAGTTCTATTGCTCTACCACTATAATTTCTATACTATTATCACTGCTACTAAAAATGATAACAGTGATTATATTGACATGAATGACTATGAAAAATAATGATGATGATTATAATAATAACTATTATTATTACTATAATGATAACGATGATGACGATGATAATAATACCAATGATAGTAATAATAAAGAAATAACAGTAATGATAATAACAATAATAAAAGTACTAATACTAATACTAATGATACCAATACCATTACTAATACCAATACTAGTACTTACACTAATATCAATAACAATAACACAATAAAATAAAAACTTACCATCATATGAGCGATCTCCCACACCGTTTGGAAAATACGAGCCACTTCCCCCCAGATTCTGTGGCACTTGAAACGCAGATAGTGCCAGGGGTGCCATTTGTATGCCAGTGATGCCAGGTGTTATACGTGCTTCTGTTGAGGGTCAATTTGTTTTGATTAATTATTTATTTTTGATTATTCGTTCGTCTTGGATTAATATGTTCTAAAATTGGTTTCAATAACGACAGAACATGTTTAGTCATGTTATTCATAGTTTGTTCCTGACATGAAAATGTAAATGGAAGATATGGAAATAAATAAAGATATTATAGTTGTGATGGTGATAGTACATCTAATCAAGAAATTATGGTAATGAAAGCAATGATGATATACAAAAAATAAGATAATGTAAGCGTCACAAAAAAGAAAATGGAAATTCAAAAATAAATTACTGTATCAGAAAAATCTGTAATAATAATGTTATTAATGATGATGACTATATAGAAAAAACAAACAAATATATATCAATCATAACGAATACATATTGATAATGAAGATTATGGGTCTGCCAATAATAATAATGATAAGCATAGCCCTTGTATAAATGACATCAGCATTTTATACAACTCATCACAAGAATGATACTACTATCACAACTTCTACCGCTGCCAACATTAACACTAATGACAATAATAGTAACAACAATCTCGAGTTCCATAACATACCACACCGACACAAAGTAACGTCTTTCTGCCGTCGTTATACCGTATGCTTCACGCAGCAGCTCTTCCCTTCCGCGCTCACCCTCTCGCCGCTCGCTCCTCACTGCATCACCACTGCCGCCGCGTAGCCCCAAACCACACGCCCGCACGCCCGCACGCCCTCCTAACCACACTCACTCGTTCTCCGCTGTGACGCTGAACCATGCGGAACGGTGCGCAGCTCGCGTCTTCTGCGGCGTGGCTGCGGGAAGGGGTCGTCGAAATGCAGCCGTGGGAAGTTTGGGCGGTCTTCGGGGCTTCGGATACGGTGCTTCGGGTGCGGGATGCTTATCTGTGTATCTATTTTTTTTATTTCATTATTTTAATTTTTTTTTTATTTTTTCAGTTTTATTTATTTATTATTTATTATTACTATTTATTATATTATTATTTATTATTTTATATTATTATTATTATTATTATTATTATTATTATTATTATTATTATTATTATCATTATTATTATTATTATTATTATTTTATTATTATTATTATTATTATTATTATACTATACTTCTACTACTATTATTTATTATATTTACTACTATTATTATTATATTACTATACTACTACTACTACTACTACTACTATTATACTACTTACTACTACTTACTACTACTACTACTTATTATTATTATCATTACTACTACTACTATATTATTATATTATTACATATTATTATCATTATTATTACTTTACTATTATTAACATTATTTTTCTTTTTTTAAGTTGAGGATGTGTTTTCTTAGCGTCCTTCACGTGCTGTTCGTCTGCTGAATGTGGATGTTGTGACTTGCATTACTTGGCGGTTGTGTTTGGGAATACGGTTTGTGTATGTGTTGTGTGTGTGTGTGTGTGTGTGTGTTTGTGTGTGGGTGGGTGTGTTTGTGTGTGTGTGTGTGTGTGTGTGTGTGTGTGTGTGTGTGTGTGTGTTGTGTTGTGTGTGTGTGTGTGTGTGTGTGTGTGTGTGGTGTGTGTGTGTGTGTGTGTGTGTGGTGTGTGTGTGTGTGTGTGTGTGTGTGTGTGCGTGCGCGCGCGCGTGCATGTGTGTGTGAGAGAGAAAGAGTGTCAGTGTATGTGCGTCTCTGTGTGTTTATTCCCTGTTACTCCACCGCTCCTCCCTCATTCACCTTCCATTCTTAAATCTCTTCAGTGGAAAAATCTGTGTCATGTAGCTAATCATCGTGACCGCTAGGGCGAAGAGTCCAAGAACTGACCCCCTTCTCCCTACCCCTGTTCCCTCCCCTACTCACTACTCTTACCCCCTTCCCTTCCCATATACCCTCTCACCCCCCTAATTCCCCTCTCCATATACCGTCTCCTCCCTCATTCCCTAACCCCATATACCCTCTCCTCCCCCTTCCCTCCCCCTTCGCCCATCCCGATCCTACAACTCCCCTTCCCCTGCATCTCGCACCCGCTTCCAACTCCCCCCCCCCCCTCCTTCCTGCTCCTCCCCTCCCTCCTCTTTCCTCTCCCCCCTCCTCTTCCCTCCCCCTCCTCTTCCTCCCTCTCTTCCCCCCCTCCTTCTCCTTCCCCTCCCCCTCCCATCCGCAACTATGACCGGCCGGAAAACCTAACTGTTTCCAGGGCGAGTAAACGCGCGTGATGGCTGTCACTCGAACGAAACCACCACCTACTTGTTTCTGTCGTGACTCTATTCGTCCGGCATTTGGGGGGCGTCGCATTTCGGTGGTTTAGGGAGGTTTAGCTCATTATCGCTCTTTATGTAACTGTTATCTTCGTTCTTGTGTTGTTTTTATGGCGTTATTCGTTACTGCTATGGTGATGAGGATCTCAATAACGGTAATGATAGGCAATGATAATGGTACGGTCATGTTCGCACTGTGATCTGTTTAATTATCTATCTGTATGTCTGTCTATCAATTAATTAATCTTTCTAATTATTCTAGCTATCTTACGTGTATATACAATCATCTTTATAAACAATACTGACAAGAGGGAAGGCCTATTATTTCACTCGAAAAAAACAACAACAGTGGTTGTGCGAATAACCAACAGTTACCGTGCGAATAAACTGTATATCTAGATTCCTTTTCTCCGGTTAGCTCACTGAAGCGGTGGTGAGTCTGCTTACGTCATTAACAACTGACAGCATGCAGATTTTTTTTTCTGTAACGGCTACTTCGTTATATATAAGATTTATTTTATTACTCACGCACACGCACACTAGAACACATG